GAAGAATGAAGTCCTTGACAACTTCAATCTTTTTTCCGTTGATAAGAATGTTGGTTTATTAGTCCAGTGGTGAGGATTTTTGTTTTCTTTACATTAAGATGTAAACCATACTAAATGCTATGCTCTTTGATCTTCATCAGTAAATATTTTAAGTCCTCTTCACTTTCAGCAAGCAAGGTTGTATCATCCAGCATATCGCAGGTTGTTAATGAGTCTTCCTTCAATCCTGATGTCATGTTTTTCTTCACATAACCCAGCTTCTCGGATTATTTGCTCAGCATACAGGTTTAATAAGTATGGTGAAAGAATACACCCCTGTCACACACCTTTATAGTATACTTTAAAATCAGAAAGTGTGAGTCCTACTTTGTTCTTCTGTTTTCCCATTATTTTAGCTACTTGGGACTTTTTCCCTTTCTGTATAAAGTAGAAGTCTAGTTTTCCTATTTCTGTGAAGAAGGCTGTTAGATTTTTTATCAGGATTGCATTGCATTTATAGATGGTTTGGGGTAATATTGACATCTTAATAATATTGAGTCTTCCAATCCATGAGCATAGAACATCTTTCCATGTATTTAAGTCTTTAATCTTTAATCTCTTTCAGCAGTGTTCTATAGTTTTCATTGTATAAATTCTTCATGTCCCTGGTTAGATTTATTCCCAGCTATTTTATTCTCTTAGTTGTTATTATAAATGGAATTGTTTCCCTAATTTCCCTTTCAAATTACTCATTGCTGGTGTATAGAAACCTGATTTTTGTTTGTTTACCTTGTACCCTGCAACTTTGCTAAATTTCCTCTATTATCTCTAGAAGTTTCCTTGTGGACACTTTGTGATTTTCTGTCTTTTCATGGATATGTTTATTCATTAATTTTTTAAAAAATATTGTATTAAAATATTACTTACCTTGATTACTGAGTTTTTTAGAACTCCCTTAAATTTTGTGCCTGAGGTGAGTACCTTGCTGGCCTCACCTCAGTCCCAACCCTAACTGAAAGGCCAGGGACCTTTGAAAGTGAGTCTGTGGGTCTGTTTCTAGGAGTCCCAGATCTCCCGAATATTTGGCACCATGATCAATCAGAAGCTTCAGGATTTTGAGGAAGAAGTGAAGCCCATCGGGAATGTGGTGACTGAAGCTACCTTAGATGTGTACAATACTGTGGTACAGCGCTTCCTGCCCACACCTGCCAAGATCCATTACCTCTTCAACCTTCGAGACATCTCCAAGGTGAAACTTGGTCTAAGCCCCTTTGGCCCTGGCACAGCCTCCTTGGAGGCACTCTCTTTTCAAAATCAGCCTGGGAGCTCATTAACATATTTTAACACCAGTTGTCCTTGAGTAGATTCATATGACACCAAGTGTGTCAAAGTAGAACTCCATAGGATTTCTAACAGCTGGTTTTTTCATAAGTACATCATCAGGCCTTTCTTCTGAGATGCCTGAGTGGATTTGAATTGCCAACCCATTTACCTGCCAAGCACGGTAACCATTTGCACCTCCCAGGCACTCCCAATAGCATATCACACCACAAAACTCTCCCCCATCCTAGAATACCACTCTCCTTGGCTTTAATGTGAAATTTTGTGGAGGAAATGTCTTCCCTCTTCTATTCCAACGGTCACTTATCTTCTCCAGGTGTTCCAGGGCATGCTGAGAGCCAACAAGGACTTCCATGACACCAAGTCTAGCATTACACGCCTGTGGATCCATGAATGCTTCCGGTGAGATCTCCAAGTCCTGGCTAGTCACAGGTTTTCTCGACTTTAGCCCTTGAATATATGCCTTCCCCCTGACCTGGCATCCCCTTCCACAGGGTCATTCTCCCTCTATCTTAATTTTTAAGCTGTGGCACAAATATACCTAACAAAATATTTTCCAGTTCAACAGTTTTTACACATATAACTCAGTGACACTGATTACAGTCTTCATCTTGTACAACCATTATCGCTGTATCCTTTTCCAAGTTTTTCTGCCACCATCAATGTAAACTCAGTGTCCCTAAACAGCACCTCCTCCTCTCACCTTCCCTCCCACTCATCCCTGGTAACCGCTAATAAGTGTTGGTTTCTGTAATTGTGTATACATCAGTTCATACAATATTTGCCCTTTTGTGATTGATTTAGTCACTCAACTTAATATTTTCAAGATCCATCCATGTCATAGCATGTATCAGGACTCCATGTGTTTATCCATTCATAGGTTGATAGGCATTTAGGTTGTTTCCACAGGGTCACTGTCTTTTTTGTTCTGAGATCATATTCTAGCTCCCTCCCAACAGAGTCTTCTCTGACCGGCTGGTTGATGCAACAGATATGGAGGCCTTCCTGGGCATCATAAGCGACAAACTTGGATCCTTCTTTGACCTCACATTTCACAATCTCTGTCCCAACAAACGTTCTCCCATCTTTGGTGAGCTTGGAGCTGGGCTACTATATGCTTGAGACTCTTAGGAGACTAATGTTAGAAGGGGAGTTGGGGCAGGAAGTCCTGATTCTTAGGTCCCGGAGGACAGGTCTAAGCAGTACCAGGCATTTGAGACTCTTGCTTCCTATGGTCCAGGGGACTTCCTAAAGGAGCCCAAGGTGTATGAAGACCTGACTGACCTAACAGTGCTGAAGACAGCCATGGAGACAGCCCTAAATGAGTACAACCTGTCACCTGCTGTCGTGCCAATGCAGCTGGTGCTCTTCCGAGAGGCTATCGAACACAGTGAGCACTTTCTACTACTATCCCTGCCCCATCCTCCCAGTTGTAGGTCATTTCTAAGGAAGAATTGGGGAATTTCTTCCCGGGATTCTTCTATGTCAAGTCCTTGAGGTTGCCCTCCTCCCTATCACTGTATACCCTTGTGGCAACAGATAGGACCTCTCCTTGACCATCATGTTTCATGAATATGGTAGAGTTTAGCTGTTGGAGTGTTACCAGGGCTTAGGCACTAACCTCTTCCCAGACCTCTTGCTTCAGCTACTTTAGTTGCAGACCTCCCTGTTCCTAGCTTAGGGTCATCTGAGACTGCTCAGTCAACTGTTTGTCCTTATCCTTCTCCACACAGTCACTCGGATCGTGCGAGTAATTGGACAGCCTCGGGGCAACATGCTCTTGGTGGGCATTGGGGGCAGTGGGCGCCAGAGTCTGGCCCGCCTGGCTTCATCCATCTGCGAGTACATCACCTTCCAGATTGAAGTCACCAAACATTATCGAAAACAGGAGTTCAGAGATGGTATGGCTGGGTTTCTGAAATGGAAGGGGCTTTGGGCTAAGAATGAATGACCAGGTGCTTAACTTTCTGTGATGGCAAGAGGAAAGACAGAAGACAGACAGTAAGATGTGCTAGGCCTATCTTGAGTATAGGACGATGTTGGGTATGTGCTTGGGAATGATGGGGGTAGGGAAAGGATCCCTAAATCTCAGAATTTAGGAATAAGGGAGAGGATGGGGCATCTGAAGAGAATCTGTTCTGTTCTTTTTCCTTCCTTCCCTCATCTGGCCCAGATATTAAGTGTCTGTATCGTCAGGCTGGGGTAGATCTCAAGGCTACATCCTTCCTCTTTGTGGACACCCAAATTGCTGATGAGTCGTTTCTAGAAGACATCAACAACATTCTCAGCTCAGGAGAGGTCCCTAATCTCTATAAGACTGATGAATTTGAAGAGGTATGATCCCTTCCATGCTCTTTGAAGGTTCTTTGGCCTTCTCAAGCTAACCCCTGAACGATCACAGTTTTCTGAATATGCTACTTTAAAAAAAATAGTTACCATGAATTCAATTCTGACTCTAGGACATCACATATATCAGAATAGAACTGTGCCCCATAGGCTTTTCAATGCCAGATTTCTCAAAAGTACATCATCAGAAAAAAAAAAAGTACATCATCAGGCCTTGTTCCCAAAGTGCTTCTGGACAAACACAAAGCTCTAATCTTTCAGTTAGCAGCTGAGCACATGAACTATTTGCAGCACCCAGCCACTCTAGCACCCCCACTAGCCCCCATTAGGTTGAAGAACTGCTGCTCTGAATCTGACCTTGACATTCCATCCTCGTATGCTATGTGGTTTCTATGCAGATCCAGACGTGCATAATAGAGCAAGCCCGGGCAGAACAGGTGCCTGAGACATCCGACAGCCTCTTTGCTTACCTCATTGAACGTGTGAGGAACAACCTGCACATTGTGCTCTGCCTCAGCCCTGTGGGAGATCCCTTTAGGTGAACCCTGCTGTATCCCCCTCCCTACGTGCTCCCAGCACTCTTCGAGTGGTCTTTTCTCTTTCTTTTGGCAACTTATTCCTTCCCAAAGGCAGTCTCGTGAATAACACCAAGCACGCCCCATCTTTTCATAATCTGTGCCTCGTTTCAGGAAGTTCTAGCTGCTTGTGTAAGATTCATCTATTCCCTTTTGGTATGACTAGAAGCTTGGAAGGCAAGAAATTGTTTGGAGAAGCAATGTGGGTTACTCTTTTATTTTAAGACATGTATGGTACATAAAAGGAGCTCTGGTAGCGTAGTGGTTACGAATCGGGCTGCGAACCTTAAGGTCAGCAGTTTGAAACTAACAGCTGTTCGGTGGGAGAAAAATAAGGCTTTCTGCTCCCGTAAAGATTTACAGCTTCAGAAACCCTGTACAGGGTCACTATGAGTCAGTTTCGACTTCACAGCACATAGCCACCATGGTACATAAAGCATAACTTAACTACAAGATCAGCAGTTCAAACCCACTAGCCATTCCTTGAAAACCCCATACAGGGTCATTGTGAGTCCAGCTGACTCAATGGTACTTAACAACACCAAAAAAACAATAAATAATGATAACTGATTGTTTCACCTAATCTCCACAGTGACCTGTGAAGTAGATACCATTCCTACTTTGCCAAGGAGAAAACCAAAAGCAGAACTGGAAATTCAATGAGCGTTTTTTATCTCTCACATCTGCCATTTTAAGGAATTCTGGCTATAAATTGCTGTCAACACACATTTTACTTAATTTTTGAACTATTTAAAAAATGTATTCTTTTTACTAAAACTCAAAAAAGCAGTCAATTCATTATTTTTTTAAACCCCAGCTTTTGTTATATTTTGATGTTGCAATTAAGCCAGACTATTGAGTCCTGGTGTGGCGCTGTGGATTAACGCACCAGACTGCAAAGCCGTTTGAACTGCAAGTCAGCGGTTCAAGCTCACCAGCTGCTCCTCGGAAACCCTATACAGGGTCGCTATGGGTCAGAACCGACTCAACAGCACTTAACAACAATTGATAAAATGTTCATAGAATTATTTCATTTGGACTCATCATTTTGAAAAGTAAACTAAATGATGTCACTATTCTGCTAAAAATTTTCCATGGTTTTCCGTCTCATTAGGAATAGAAGTCAAGTTTCTCACATGACTTATAGTAGATTTGAACTACTGACCTTGTAGTTTACAGCCCAATTTGTAACCCACTACATTACCAGGGCTTCTTGCTTTGGCCCATGGTGATTGTGGTGGTTGTGTGCCCTCGAGTTGGCGCCGACTAATGGCTGTAAATATTTATGGGAGCAGAAACCCTCATCTTTCTCCCTCAGAGCAGCTTATAGATTCAAACCGCTGACTTTCAGTATCCAGCCCAGTTTATAACTCATTATGATGCCAGGGCTCCTTGCTGGACCCATGAAAGCTCTCAAACATGAAAGTATGAATTTTAACTTGCTAAATGATCTCTCATAGCTGGCAATGGAAATTGTGATGACTTGTAGAAACTGCTTCAGGTGGTACTCAGGGTGTGTGCCATACCTGGTATACCTTAGAAACACCTCTGGTCATCAGTTTGGTCCCATACAGATAGTTCTTAAAAGAGCATAATGTTCAAGGCAGACTTTTTTTTTTTTTTAACTAGTTAAGCTAAATTACTGTTTGGTTTTAAGAAGACTTCAGAGGATATTTTTGGTTTAAGGTTTAAAGGTTATCTCAGCATAATAGTTCCAGGGGTTAAAAATATATATGGTACAGATGATGTATTTACCACGTCCAGTTGCTATGTAGGATAAGTACTAGACTTTGAACCACAATGTTGGTGGTTCAAACCCACCAGCTCCTCCTTGGAAACCCTGTAGGGTTACCATGAGTCAGACCTGACTCAGCAGCACTTAACCATCAATAAGAAGTTGCTGTGCTAGCATTTTGCTAGCATCATTGACTTCCCTCACATCTCTAGTTATTATGTGTTGTCATCCTCATTTTACAGGAGAAAACTGACACTCAAGAGAGGTTAGATTATTTGCATAAGATCCATCCTTTGAAAATGTAGAATCAGGTCTTTTTGACTTAAGAACCGGATTCATTATACTCCACTGAAGTCGATCTGAGGGAAGTAGAATCTAGACAGGGAGATACAGAGGGAAATGGAGGAACTTTTTAGGTTCCTGGAAAGCGGGGCGATGTGGGGTGAGATAATCAGAGACTGAACCTGTGGATAAATATTGCTGCTTCTCAAAACCTCCTCACCAGAAACTGGATCCGCCAGTACCCAGCCTTGGTGAACTGCACAACCATCAACTGGTTCTCAGAGTGGCCCCGTGAGGCCCTGCTAGAGGTGGCTGAGAAGTACCTTATTGGAGTAGACCTAGGAACTCAGGAAAATGTGAGAGCTCCCTCCCTACCTCTTATCACACAACCCTGGCCCTCTCTTCCCCTTCATTCTGTCAGCTCAGCTCTTCTCCATGTGCTTTTCACTCTCTGACTTACATCCTGTACTCATTGGCCCAGATCCACAAGAAAGTAGCCCAAATCTTTGTCACCATGCACTGGTCAGTGGTTCAACATTCCCAGAAGATGTTGCTGGAGCTGCGAAGATACAACTACGTCACACCCACCAACTACCTGGAGCTTGTGTCTGGATATAAGAAGTAGGTATAAAAGTAGAAGGTGTGGATGGCCAGGAGCTTTGTGTCTTAGGAGGACAACTGGTGAAATGATGTATTGGAAAATACCCAAGAGCCGACCAAGTGGACTGGCTCAAGGACCTGGAATGTTCTTATAGAATAGCAGAGAGGCAGGAGTCTTCGTTTTGTCCAGGAACATAAATAAAAGAGAGATGGGGTTTCCATAGGGAAAGACCCTATCTAGAACTCACTGGCTTTAACCCCTCATTTTTTGGAATGATGTTTCCCTGTCTCTTGTCTTTTTCCAACCATCAGACACTGGGACTCAGCCGTAACATATTACCTTCCTTCCTTCTCTGTCATTGGTTTCTTCTAGACTTTTTACCATTTCCAAGAATTTTTTATTCATTCACTCAGTAATATTTTATTGAGTTGTCTTTTTTTTTTTTTTTTTATAACACAATACTGTTTGCTATGAAGGATATAAGAGAAATCTATTTCCAAAAATTCAGTTATGCAGATTCAGTATTTTAACCAAAGTGCAGAAAAGAACATTTGTAATAACAGTCAATGCCTTCATTTAACACAGTTTTTAAGCACCTATTATGTGCTAGCCACTATGCTAGCAACATAATATATATGTGAACAAAATTAAGTTTCTGGTCACATGGGGTTTAAATCCTATATACTATTTGCCAGTCACTGAACTAAGCCCTTCACATGTACGAGGGTAAATAAAATAATATTGCTACTAGGGTTCCAGTTCATACATGCATGGTTTTATTCCAAACAAAACATATTTAAATGTGTCTCTGTGATCAGTGGGTGGCTGCAAGCAAGTTCTTTTAGTAATACACTCGTCTTAGTCTCGTTGTTGTTATAGTTGTTGTTAGGCGCTGTCGAGTCGGTTCTGACTCACAGTGACCGTATGCACAACACAACGGAACACTGCCTGGTCCTGCCCCATCCTCACAATTGTTGTTTTGCCCAAGGTGGATTTAAAAAAACGAGCCCATTGCTGCTGCCACTGTTCCAATCCATCTCATTGGGAGTCTTCCTCTTTTTCATTGACCCTCTACTTTACCAAGTCTTGTTAGGGTTTTGCATTAAAATGACACTTTTTGTGCCATGGGAAAAAAAAACAATTTTGAGGTCAGGGCTATTATTAAATTTTCAACAAAACTCAAGTGGACATCTTCCCAAACCATTGAAGCTTTGCAACAAGTTTACAGGAATGTTGCCCCTACACAAAACAGCAGTTTTTAGATGGATCAAGCATTTTAAGAAAGGCCAGGAAGACCTCAAATATGAATTCAAGGCAGAGAGGTCAGCTGAGAAGGTTATGTTTTTTGAGATTCCCACGGGGGCTTATTAGGAAGAAGTTTTAAGAAAACGGACATTTGTATTGGTGAGAAAAAAAGACCAGAAAACTTACGATGAGGAATTCTTTTTTTCCCCCTTTCCCATTACAATAATGCATCTGCCATTCTTCAAGGGTAGCAAGGACTATTCTATGAGAATTTTGTTTGGAAATCTCATCCTGTCCACCTTCCAGTCCTAATCCTGCCCCTTTGGACTTCTTTTTTCCCCAAAGTCAAAGGGCGTTTAAAAGCAATGATATTTGATTCCTTAAGGATGCGCAAAACTGCCATTTTGATGTAGTTTCAGTCGTAGAGTGCAGAAAGGTTAGGTAGTTGGGAACACTGCCTCCAGAGTGTGTAGACCCAGATGTCAAGAGTAATAGCTTCATACTGTGATACTCTTATTTAATGAAGGTTTCTATGATTTTATAGCAATACTTTTTAACTTGCCCTCATATTTTCTCATTTATCCAGACAATAATTCTATGTAAACACTTTTTTTTTGCCTGTAAAACCTCCAGCAATGTTTAAAATGAGTTGCTAACATTTGCAACCCAGGAATCTTATAGAAACCTGGGATTTCAGCTTCTCTTAAAAAAATCCGAAATTGTGGCAATGCTAGACCATACTCCTGCAGGAAAAAAACAGGTTGGTGCGAAGTGCACCCCACCCCTTTTAGGCAAGCACATGTTTCCTGGTTTGCTGTCATCCCCACCTGGCCTGCTGCACAGTGGGGAACAACTGAAGATTGGCAAGCAGGGGAAGTAGTGTGAGGAAAACAGTGTTTAGCAAGCTGGTTGTGACAGATCCGGGTAGAGTACAAGGGAAGGAGACGCACTGGAGGCAGGAAGATTGGTTGGGAAGCAGTTGGCAAGGATTCAGGCAGGATGTGATAAAGACCTGAGGAGGTGCTGGTGGGTGGCAACCACAAGGAAGACAAGACTCAGGAGATATTGGGAAGGAAGGTTACAGCTAGGACACTCCTCTTACTTAGGGTCCAGTCCCTCAGGCCACTTTATTCTGTGTTGTCCTCTAGGTTGCTGGGAGAGAAGCGGCAGGAGCTGCTGGACCAAGCCAATAAGCTGCGGACAGGATTGTTTAAGATTGATGAAACCAGGGAAAAGGTGGAGGTGATGTCCCTGGAGCTGGAAGATGCCAAAAAGAAGGTGGCTGAGTTTCAGAAACAGTGTGAGGAGTACCTGGTCATCATCGTGAAGCAGAAGCGGGAGGCGGACGAGCAGCAGAAGGTCTGGGCTCCCACTCACATGCCAGCCCTCACCTCAGGACTACCAGTGCCCACTGAGAGTAGGATTCTGGGTCTCTACCAATTCCTGCATCAGGGAACACAAAGTTTAGTCCTTACATTTTCCTTAGCCTTATCTTTCATCTTCACTAAGAACACTATAATTTTGCCCAAGGTGGATTTAAAAAAATGAACAAACCCTGGCCCTTATTCAAGCCTGTAATCTTTATGGAAGCAGACAGCCACATCTTTCTCTTGTGAAGTGACTGGTGGGTTCAAACTGCTGACCTTCAGCTGAGTGCTTAACCACTGAACTGCCAGGACATCTTTCTTCTCATTCCTAGGCAGTGACAGCCAACAGTGAGAAGATTGCAGTTGAGGAAATCAAGTGTCAAGCTCTGGCTGACAATGCCCAGAAGGATCTAAAAGAGGCCCTGCCAGCCCTGGAAGAGGCCATGAGGGTAATGGGGCGGGTGCATGGATGTGTACCAGGAGCAGGAGAGCCCAGGCAAAGGGATGGGGCTTCTTTCCCTTCAAAGTCTTTGAAGAACTGGGAAGAGGTGGTTACCTATCTCTATAAAGGAAGAGCCTGCCTTAGCACTTGAGTTAACTCTGACCCTGCTAATGAACCCTCTTTCCAGGCCCTTGAGTCTCTGAACAAGAAGGATATAGGAGAGATCAAGTCCTATGGACGGCCACCCACCCAAGTGGAGATAGTAATGCAAGCAGTCATGATTCTCCGAGGCAATGAACCCACTTGGGCAGAGGCCAAGAGACAGCTAGGTAAACCAGGGAGTCAAGAGATCATTGACTTCAATTCACCAGTATTTAGTCATCCTCTGCTGTGCAAAGAAACATTGTGCCTATGTGTCTATTCTCAAGAAGCATAGATCCCAGTAGAAAGAGAAGGCATATACATTAATTTACACCAAGAAAAAGAAAGAAAGAAAAAGTGCTATTAAAATATAAGAATGTCACAGAATCCAAGGGCAGGAAGATTCTGAAGGGATAGGAATCAAAAATGTGAAACAGGGCTCTTTCTGTTTCCTTTTCTGATAGGTTCCCATGGTAGAATACAGCCTACAGGCCATAACTGGCCAAACCCTGCCCTAGAAGAAAGTGCAAAGCATGTATAAAAAGAATGCTGTGTGGCATGGTCCGACTGAGATGTTAGAGAAAAGTGATGGGAGATAAGGCTGAGAAGGTTGTAGAGGGCTCTGGAAGGGAACAAGAGCCAAGGGATGATGTCCGATATTTTGGCGTTGGGAACTGAGCCCAGGGAAAAGGTGGCTCTGCCTAACATGTGGTTAGTTGTCGTTCAGTCAGCTCCACTCATGGTGATGCTGTGTCTGGTCCTGTTCCCTCTTCACTATCATTGTACCCTTGAGCTAAGGTTGTCTGCACTTGTATCCTGAGAGTTGTCCAACTTAGGGGACTCATCTTCCAGTGCTATATCAAACAATATCTTGTTGAGATCAATAGGTCTTCAATACTAATTTTTGGAAGCAGATTACCAGGCCTTTCTTCCTAGTCTGGAAGCCCTGCTGAAACCTGTGTGTCATAGGTAGACTACTGGGGATTGAAATACCAATGGTATGGCTTCCAGCAACATGCAAGCCACCACAGTATGACAAACTGACAGATGGGTGTGTGCTGAATGCAGTAGAGCTGAAACCTGGAGAAGGAATATGGGATTAGTATTTTGGGTGAGGTGTCCCCCAGCTCCCATCCCCATTTTCATTCTTCAGGAGAACAGAACTTCATTAAGTCCCTCATCAACTTTGATAAAGACAATATCTCAGACAAGGTGCTGAAGAAGATTGGGGCCTATTGTGCCCAGCCTGACTTCCAACCTGATATCATTGGCCGTGTCTCCCTTGCTGCCAAGTCCCTCTGCATGTGGGTACGGGCCATGGAGGTAAGTAGGGGGTGGGGAGTAGTGAGGGCAGGCCTGGGAAGAGAAAGCTGGGTGAGGGGAAGTCAGATGGGTAGGAAGACTCTTGGGTGGGTGAATGGACTGGTGGCTTGATGGATGACTCCCATGGTCTGACCATCTCCCTCCAGCTATACGGACGTCTGTATCGGGTGGTGGAGCCCAAGCGGGCCCGAATGAACGCCGCCTTGGCTCAGCTTCAGGAGAAGCAGGCAGCACTAGCTGAAGCCCAAGAGAAACTCCGTGAGGTTAGCTGGGCATGCCTTGTCTTCTCTACAAATGCTCCCTGATTCTAGGGATGCCTCATTACCATTTTCATCCCTGGTCTATTTCTACTCCATTCTCTCATGTCCTCCACAATTACAGTCCTATCTCTCACTCTGCATTCTGTTTAGATTGAGTTGCCTCTGGCTCAAGAAGTTGAGCCAATTGCAAAGTTTAAAAGGCATAAAATGGGACTGTCACTGATGAGCCCTTCTGAAGACTAATAGGGAGTTGACACATTCTGTCATGACCATTGGAAGTGGACCCTGAGATAGTAGTCAATAAGGTCTGCATGGCAAGTCAGTCTTTGCCAGGGAACTAGCATAGGAGTGTAAACATAGTTGCTGTGGACCAGAGAGTGAGAGTTTATTTGTGCAAAGGCAAGGGCTAGGGGGAGTCTCCCAGTGGAGTGCAGGGGACTCTTGGGAGCAGGATAGACATCCCAGAAGGTGATTTCCAACAAGACACAGTACACAGGTTAACTCTCAACCAAATAGAATATTGAAAGAGTTCAAAACTCTTGTAGTCTATCATTTGATTTTTTTTTAGTACTGATTTAATAGGTTAATAGATAAATCCATATGATTTGAAATTCAAAAGATACAAAGGAGTATCCAGTAAGAAATCTTCTCCCCACCTTCTGTCCTCCAGCCACCCAGTTGCCCTCTCTGTTGTTGTTGTTAGGTGCCATCCAGTCGGGACCGACTCATAGCGACCTTATGCACAGCAGAACAAAACACTTGCCTGATCCTGGGCCAACCTCAGTACTGTTGCCATGCTTGAGTCCATCGATGCTGCCACTTGGCCAATCCATCTCACTGGGGGTCTTCCTCTTTTTCTCTGACCCTCTACCTTGCCAAACATGATATTCTTCTCCAGCAACTGGTCCCTCCTGACAATATATCCGAAGTGTGAGACAAGAAGTTTGGCCATCTTGGCCTCCAAGGAGCACTCTGTCTGCACTTCTTCCAAAACAGATCTATTGGTTCTTTTGGCAGCCCATGGCGCTTTCAGTATGCTCCTCCAACACCATAACTCAAAAGCATTAATTCTTCTGCGGTCTTTCTTATTTACTGTCCAGCTTTTGCATGCATTATTGAAATGTGGTATTGAAAATACCACGGCTTGGGTCAGTTGCACCTTAGCCCTCAAGCTGACATCTTTGCTCTTCAACACATTAAAAAGGTCTTGTGCAGGTTGGTGGCAGCAGAGCAGAGTAAGGTAGGACAGACTCCATGCAGGAGGAGCTGAAAACCCAGAGAGGCAACTCTTATGAAACTGCACCAGAGCCCTGGATCTAACATAAGGGTCTGGGTGTCAGTGTCCCACAACTGCAAGTGGAAAAATCATGGTATAAAGAAAAACATTGCATTTTAGAAATCAGCACGGGAGGACGGGACTACAGACAGACTAGCACAAGGAACCTGCACTAAAAGCAGCGATGCGACATTTGCAAAAGGAGGTGTGGGGTGATTTTTTTCCCTCCTCTTCCGGGTGGTGCCTTTTTTGCCCAGCTGGGATGGCTTCAGGCAGGTGGGTGCATCCCCAAAAAAGTCCAGCATTGAGACCACAGCTTGCCCATGGTATAGAGAGCAAGAGCCCCAAGGCAAATCCTTTGGCTGTAGTTTTTGACTTCTGCCTGTGGGTGGGTCCCAGCCCTAAAGTTAACTTGTGTGGAACAATTAACCCCTGCCTACCCAGAAAGAAAAAAGGAGGTTTGGCCTGACAGACAAACCATATGAACAATCTGTAAAACTCCAACATAAAAAGATTCAACTATTTCAAGAATTACACTGTGTACATGCAGATACTTAACTGACCTTCAGAGACAAAAATAGTAAACAATCTTTTTCCCACTACCTTCTCAATATCTATCTGTGCACCTCTAGGGGAGGGGCCTGAGCGAGTGGACACCACAACCCACTACTAGAGGCTTCTACAGTGCGCACACACACAATTTTATTTTTGTTTCAAAGTGGAGGTTCTTGTCTCTGCTTTTATATTGCTTCTACTTTGGGGCCTTTTGATCACACATTTTTCCTGGAGGTGGGAGCTTTTTCTCCCTACGTTACCCAAGGAAAGACAGCAATCATGACCATAAAGCCAAGCTACAAGCATACCCCATAATATTCCACCATTAAGACAAGAGCCAATAACAGCTGCTAAACATTACATGCGAAAAGGGAGGCCTATCTCCTGATCCTATCCACCAGGAGACACCCAGTAAGCTTAATAACACAACAACAAACACCCCTTTAAGCATTGAAAAACCCACATAACTACTGGAAATGACAAACAAAAGAGCTCAAACACAAGAAGGTCTTGTGCAGCAGATTTGCCTAACGCAATACATCATTTGATTTCTTGACTGCTGCTTCCGTGAGTGTTGATAATTGATCCAAGAAGAATGAAGTCCTTGACAATTTCAATCTTTTCTCCATTGATAAGAATGTTGTTTATTGGTCCAGTGGTGAGGATTTTTGTATTTTTTTTACGTTGAGATGTAATCCATACCAAAGGCTGTACTCTTTGATCTTTAAGAAAGTGAGACAGCACAGAAGGTACTCACTCATCTCTGCCAAGAAATTTGGAAGACAACTCTCTGGCTGAAATGTTGAACCGGCTTGTAACAAGAAAAGAAATGCATCAAGTCATTAGAAAACTCCCTCCCAAAAAAGTCCAGAACCAGATGGCTCTACGGGTGAATTCTACCACCAATTCTACTCAAGCTATTCAAGAATATAGAAAAGGATGGAAAACTCCAGAATTTATTTTATGAAGCAAACATAGTCCTGATACCAAAACCAGGCAAAGACATCACTAAAAAAAGAAAATAACAGACAATATCCCTCATGAACTAGATGTAAAAATTCTTAATAAAATCCAACAGCATGTCAAAAAATAATATATCATGTGACCAAGTGGAATTCTTACCAGGTAGAAGAACAATCAACACCACATAAATAAAACAATGGGGAATAAAACCACAAGAGAGTAGTCCCTTGTCTGTTATGTCATTGCCAAAAAAATGTTCCCCAGTCTGTGGGCTCCCTTTTTATACTCTTTTGGTGAAATCTCCTAGTACACACAAAGTATCTAATTTTTAGGAGGTCCCAGTCATCTATTTTTGTCTTCTGCTGTTTGTATGTTTTTAGTTATGAAATTTTTAGTTAATTTCAGATATATAGAAATTAAAGGAATTTGTTATAACCAGACCAAATTTACAGTTCTTTGCACTGATAATCAACAGCAACAGACAACCACTTGAGATTAACATACATGACAACGCCACCCAGAACTCAATCCAGATGCAGAAGTATTTAAAGTAAAACAACTAGGAAGAAACTCACCAAAGACACAGAAGAACTAAGCAACACAATCAACCAAGTTGACATCATAGACATGATTGTATCAATTGATGCAGAAAAGGCATTTGACAAAATGCAACATACATGATTGATTTAAAAAAAAAAAAACAGTTAACAAACTAAGAATAAAAGGGAAATTCCTCAACATTATTAAACGCATAAATACAAAACCAACAGCCAACAACACTCTCAGAAACTGAAAGTGTTTCCCTTGCAAACAGAACCAGACAAGGATGCCCTTTGTCACCACTCCTATTCAATATTGTGTTGGAAGTCTTAGACAGAATGATAAGGCAAGAAAGGAAAATTAAATGCATCCAAATTGGCAAAGAAGAAGTAAAACTCTTTCTATTTGCAGATGATAATGATCCTATATGTAGAAAATCCCAAAGGCTCAGCAAGAAAATTATTGGAACACACTGAAAGATTCAACATACTAGCAGGGTACAAGATCAACATACAAAAATCAGCTGGATTCCCTAACACTAATAAAAAGCTCTGAAAAGGAAATCAGGAAAACAATACCATTTAACCTCCAACAGTAGTGCAGGAGCGTCCCAGTCTCTTCATACCCTTACCTGCATTTGCTCTCTGTGGTTGTTTTTTTAAACTTTGCTGTTAGTGCTCAAGTAAGATGATAGCTCATTGTTGTTTTGATTTTCATCTCTCCGATGGCATAAGCACTGGAGCAGTTCAAACCCATCTACTCCTTGGAAATCCTACACAGGGTCACTCTGAGGCAGAACCAACTCAACAGCACTTAACAACAACAGCAATGGCCAATGCTCATGAGCATTTCTTTATATGTTTGCTGGCCACTTGATTGTCTTTTTTTTTAATTGTCTTTTTTTGGTGAAGTATCTTTTCATATCCTTCGCCCATTTTACAATTGGATTATTTGTTTTCTTCTTGTTGAGGCATTGTAGTGTTCTTTAAATTTTGCAGAGTAGTCCCTTGTCTGATATGTCATTGTCAAAAATTTTCCCAATGCTGTGGGTACTTTTTTGGTGAAATTCTTTTCCTAAGTGCCTAATTTTTGTAGGAGGTTCCAGTCATCTATTTTGTCTTCTGCGGTTTGTGTGTTGTCAGTTATGTTTGACAGTGTATTTATACCACACAGAGATCCCCTATGCTTGTCCCTATTTTTTCATTGATGATCTTTATAGGTCTAGGTTTTAGGAACTAAATCCATGTTAAGCTCCTTTTTTATATGATGTAAGATGGGTCTTGTTTCATTTTTCTTCCAATGAATTTCCAGTTTTGCCAGTACCATTTGTTGAAGAGACTATCTCTTCCCCCAATTTAATATGTTTTGACCCTTTGTTGAAGATTAATTGAATGTGAACCACTGACCTTGCAGTTCAAACTGACCTTACAGTCCAGCCCATTATTCCATAGCACCATTTTTGAGTTCTCAGTTCTGTTCCATTGATCTCTATGTCTTTTGATGTACCAGTGCTAGGCTGTTTTTTGATTACTATGGCTGTGTGGTAGGTTTTGAGATCAGGAAGTGAGAGACCTCCACCTTTGTTCTTCATTTTTAGTAATGCTTTTCTTACCAGAGATCTCTTTCCTTTCTATATAAAGTTAGTGATTAGTTTTTCCATCTCTGTAAA